AACAACAACAATAATGCGCTTACCTTCGTGTCGCTCTATAATTTTACACAGAACTAGAGGAAGCCTCTTGTTAAGATCATATTGTAGGACATAATGCAGAACTTTGCACAGTCAAAACTAATCAAGTCTAGCAGATTTCAAGGATTTATCAATCTGGACCGTTTATAAGATAAAAGACAGGATCGTATAAACCGACACAGCAAAATCAGATACGTTATAACTTATCACGCTAAAAACTTGTCACTCATGAATCATAACGTCTGTCTGTGTGGTAGACTGAATAATTCTCATAATTATCATTATTATCAGTTTATTCTTCCTATATGTATATATTTCTTGTGATGTTTCATAATTATCACTATCCATTTTCTTATGTATTTCTCTGATTTACATGTGTTTCTCCTTTAAGGGATTATTTACAGATTTATATTCGATAATTCTATAATTATTATAATTACTGTGTTAATCAAAATATATGTTACAACTATTTTGGGATTTAACATAAGAGTTATTGCTTCAAATTAATATGTTATATTATCATAGCTGGAGATGGATGTGTGTGATTGGTTGAACGAAAATGTGCACGCCATTGCGTGCATTTGTAGAGGGAGTTCTCGTGATAGCTTCATTCATGGTAAAGCATCAATGAAGAGAAGAAGCATCGCAATTTATATGTTTGAAAACCGCCAAACTGACCCCAAACCAGCCCAAATTTTGTGCACCCGCCCAAGCCAATTTTTACCCGCACAATCAAATTCAAAACCGCCCAATTGGGCAGGAACCCGTCCAATCTGGCAACACTGCGTCGTTTTCAAGACTGTGATTTAGCTGTAACGTTAGGCCTGTAATTAACGTTACTCGTTAAGCGTTCTCCTCCCATAGAAACCCGTTAGGCTATAAGAAAAACTCTTAATGTGGCTTAATGAATTAAAACCGATTAAACCTGTTTTTAAAAGACGAAACTCAGTTGAGAGCATGATTAATAAATCATACTATGTACAGACAAGCACTGTTTTAATGCATTAAGCCATGTAAGCGTTTTAAAACGAATAATAACGGAATTCCTTATAACGGTTTTGATGGGAGGAAAACGCTAAACGCGCGTTGCGTTCTATCCTGCACTCATCTGCTTGTCTGTACATAAGTATGATTTGTTAATAACGTGTTTTCTGAGTTTGGTCTTTGAAAAACACTGTCTTAATGCATTAAGCCAAATTAAGTGTTTTAAAATGTCCCGAACAGAATGAGGACTGTGCAAAGTAGTCTGTGAAAAAGGTAACTATCTATTTGTCTGTGTAAAGTTTTCCTCTAAGTGATCCAGACCCTCTCAGACTAGACCAGTGGATGCTCAACGTGAAACGACAGAATTGGACTCCTAAAAAGGCTTCTCGTCTGTGCAGTGAACACTTTGAGCACCTCAGCGCCACCCACGTCCCGCCTCTTTGCCCATTTTCGATTATCCGGGAGTGACGCGCGGTGACGCGCTGCCAAGATGGCGACGACCGGCTCCGCCCACTTTGGGCTTCAAAAAAGCTCTTCAGAATTCAACGGGTGACGTCACGCACACTACGTCCATGTTTTTATACAGTCTATGGTTTAAAAATAAAAATAAAAATACAGTCTATGGTTTTCATCAGCACCTCACAATGAGCGAATGTGAGCTACACTGACCCCTACAGACACCTCTGTAGATTGTCACCCACGTTTTGAAACATATTTTTTACTTTTACAGAAATATCCCCCTAATCAAATATTTCTAATATCATTATATAATTGTAATTTGTCTTACAAGTTGGCACGTTTTTTAAATGTTAACATGTGTTTAATTGTATGCTCTATCTATCTATCTATCTATCTATCGCGAAACAAAACGATTCATGAAACAGAGAAAATGTAAAAGGCAATGCACAATATATCAAACCATTGTTTTACAATACCACTGTGACAACATGTCCCACTTTTGGTAAACAAGCTTTTAATCTATCCATATATCCCATTTATATGTTTATATATTTATGTTTACACGCACACACACGCGTTTACTTAGCTATCTAAATGAGGACATTACAACTTCTATTGTTTTTATATACAGATAGTTATACATTTTTTAACCTAAACCCACCCCTAACCCTCACAGAAAACTTTCTGCATTTTTACAATGTCAAAAAACGTTGTTTACTTTATTTTTATACCAGTTTTACAAATGAGGACGTCCCCAAATGGAGTTTTTTTTTTTGGCGATTTTGTCAGGTTTTGCTCACTCTGGGTACACATTTGTCCCCAAAATATGGTTAAGTAGGTACACACACACATAAAAATGTTAAATTACAATTTATAAATTGCAAAGAAGGAAAGATCAAGGTGTGATAAGTTTTATTTTTTATGTCAATATCTCATGGTTCGACAACTTCAAAGCAGCTAATTCAATGCACCTTTTCTCAAATGTCTTCTGAAGTGCTGAATTTCAGTATTAACCCATCATTCTCTGTATAATCAAAAACGTAATCAATATCCCAAGTTTTTGTGATGATAGATAGATAGAAACTTACATCTTTCAAGAAATTTGTTTCTTATTGGTCCTGAAGCAATCCAGTGCATCTGAAGTGTTCCACAACAGCATCATGATATCGCCACCAAACATCAAAAGAACTGAGCTCACATGCAAAGCTCACTAACACCCTGAGTATACAAGATGGTAAGCAGAGTATTTTAAGCAACATACTCAGGAAGTACAGATCTTTTGAGTCACTACTGTACAGCGGAATTACCTTGATTTGTGTTGTTCTTTATGGTTGCTTGGTTTTCCTGATCTGCATAGAGCTGTGTGCAATGATGTCATATTACAAAACAATACAGAAAAAGTCCATGAAGAATTAAAAGCACTATGCTATTCAACACAATGAAATTGTGCACTTTTAATTCCCCTTTTAAACTTTTACACAATAAATTACATTAGAAGTACACTTTTTTTCTGTATAGGTACCCATATCGTCTAACTGCTGTTGACTAATAACACATTAATGCCAGTATAACAGCGTTATGGTGGAATAATATCACACTTTACATCTATTCATACCCACTTTCAGACTACAAAGCTTGGATTGCTGAGACAATGCGGAGAAGTCATGGATTTACACTATATACAGTTTGCAAACGCCAGCCATACAATACAGCACAATTAGCAGACTCAGCACATAATTGCTCGGTTTGCTGGTCATTTATGCCACCCAAAATAAAACAAATTACACAATGGAGCTGCTACAATTGTTACAGTGCATCACTTATCAGTGCTACAGGTGTATAACAAGAATAATAAGACCACTAGGACTGCGCTAATACAGTTGCTTTGTTTGTTGATACTAAGCTGAAATGGTGTGAAATATAATATCTACGAGGATCAGGCAAAACTTTATTTTATGTGTGGGGGAATCAGCTGTCAGGTTGTCCCTTCTTTGCTATTAACACATGGTTTGACATTCAGTCCTTGTTCTTCTGTTGAGAGGATATTCAGGAAGCTGCTGAGGCACAGAGGGCTGGTCTCATCTTTCAGCTCAACTCCAACTCCATCAGTTCAGTCCAGCCCCATGCTTCAATAGTGTCTAAACCAGAAAAGACAACAAATATGTGATGGTTAAAGGGATAGTTTACCCCAAAAATTAATAATCTGTCCTCACTCACTCTCATTTTGGTTCAAACCTGTATGAGTTTCTTTGAAAAATGAAAATGGCCAATTAGTGAACGAGTTGTTCTTTTGAGTAATGAATGAATCAGTCGCTCAGGTTCACCAAACTAGTCTGAATGATTCATACATTAATCAGACTTTGCTACTGACCTCATGAACATGTCGTTTTGTGTTCCACAGAAGAATGAAAAAGTCATACAGGTTTGGAATGACACGAGGGTGAGTAAATGATGACAGAACTTCCATTTTTGGGTGAACTATCCCTTTAAGGCAAGACACTACAGGCAAAAACATTAGGTCAGTTTTGAGATTTTGTTTCAGACTAGTGCATCATCGATCACTAATCATCAAAAATACATTTTTAAGTATTAATTTTACTGCACTTTATCTATTTGTGTCTGTAGATTTCAATTACAATACATATTTTAAAGGCTGTTTGCTCAAAATGAGTTTTTTTCTCATGCACGAGTCAGAAATCTCCACTTCAGCAGCACTTCCACACACCAGACTGTACAGTTTTATTCTTATCTATATTCTGAAGGTTTTTACAGAGGGGGTTGTTCATATATCAATTGCCTGATTTTATAAAACATTTTATTCCTACAAATATGGCAAAAATTCTGGCTGTTATCAGAATTATATGATACATGGAGGGATAAAAAGAAGTCCAAAATCCTCTCAGTAAAAACCTTTGACTTAGCAATCACCTTTGCATTAGATGTTGAGCTTGTCTGAGGTGGGTCTAAGACTCTGGAAAAGTGATGAGTCAATAGCAGCGCTACTGCAATCCTGGATCAGATTCTTGTTGCAGTCACCAAAAGCTGGAGCAGCAGACACTTTGGGATGCGAGACCTGCCCCGTCAGAACGTGGATATCGCCCAAAGCCACAGAAGTCATACTGTTGTGTGAGATCTCACTGACGGGGGAATATTCTGGAACAAGCTCGTCTCTGGACACTGGGCTGCAATGACAAGTATTTTAGTTTATTACAGGGACTGACAATATTTTATCAATGTCGTTAGCATGCTATAATCAGACCTACTTTTTCTGAAATAACGTGGCATGATTTTGTTGGAGGCTAACCTGACATCCATGGACTGGACCCCATCCGAGAGATCATCTGCCCCACAGCTCTTTGTCTCCAGTGGCACAAGGCATATGATTGGAGACTCAGATGTTGCCTTTGGTGGACTGATAATCGCTGTGTTACCTGTTGCGCAAGATTAATGTAGTTTAATCCAAAAGAAAAAAAAATTCAGAGCTATTTTACCAGATTATCAACATTCTATTTTTGTGGAAGAGACAGAAAAAACGAATTTCAGTTCTTAATTACACCACTTGATGGCGCTCTTTCGTTTTTTTTTCTACAGTATAGATAGACCAAATAGATTTTCCACATGCTGAGTCACTCAGCAAGAGACTAATAATAAAGAGCCTGTGTGTGTTTAAGTGAATTTACACAGTGAAAGGGAGGGTTAAATGTTACTACATGCCCACTGTAGAACTGTGGTGTAGTGATAGGGGTCATATCAGTACCTTCAGTTTCCAAGGGAGACGGTGAGATGGACTGGGAAACAGATATGGGGGATGGGACTTCCATCTGCACCTCTTCTTTCTATTCAAAAACATGACAAGCAATATTATTTGCTGCAGTTAGTAAATCTTTGTCATCTGATAATTTATTTACCTTTTCTCCATCAGGTTTTCTTGTCCTTTTCATAATCTCCTCAATACGCTGCCAAAATCACATGCAAACATCATACATCATTAACATCATAAACTTTAATTAAAACATGACCTCAAAACAAGTTTCTTTTTTTCTTAGTATCAGACAAAGTGACAAATAAAGTCTTTTCTGATGTTATGTTTTGATTATTTTTTTCAACCCCTCCCAAAAACCAGATGGTGTGTAAAATACCCAATCAATTCCTGGATAAATGGATAGAATCACACTTTGTTTCTATTTAAATACATCTTGAATATTGAAAACTCAAATATGTTGCAAACAGTTTCTTGTTGACTCTGCACTCTCTTCAATGTTTGAATTGAGTTTTAATCAAGTAATAAATATGTGCATAGAAAAGTAGCCCTTAGAGATTACCACTTTATAATTACTAAACTTCTCTCCTTATAATGCACTTAACATTGCACAATCATTTAAATAGTGTCAATATTAATACATTTCCATGTATTGCTTGCTTCTATATGTAAACAGAGAGAAAAGAAGAACCTTCTTCCTTTGAAGTCTCTCCTGCTCCTCTTGAATTTTCAGAAGCTCTCGCTCCTGTCTCTTCCGTTCAGCCTCTCTATGAACGCGCTGCACTGCTTCCTCCCTCTGCCAAACATCATGACACATCACATCTCCAACTATATCACATTTATCCCTACAGATATTCACAGCTACAGAAGACAGATTGGTGCTGCACGTGTCTGGATGGATGAGTATGTTTGTCTGATGAGTCAGTTTTATTTCTGTGTCGTTTCACTGTCCTTTTTGTATTTATGTAATGATTATTTTGATTTTTTTGGTTTGTTTAAACAGTGAGGTCCAGACATCTGAGACCACTGCTGAAAATGAAATAGATCTTTTTTATTTGTGTTTATTTTTTCAAAATCTAATCTAATCTAATCTAATATAAATTAAATTTCTAATGAAAATGTATTAAATAAAAGTCTATAAAATTTTCAGCAGTCTCAGACTTTTAGTTCCCACTGTTTTAACAATTAATATAATTAATTGTTTTTAATGTAATGTAATATAATATCCCTCTGACCTGTCTGACCACCTCATCCTGGAGCTCCTTCCAACGTTGTTCCTTTTGGTGCCTGTCGTCCAGCTCTCTTTGACAGCGCTCCTCCTCCTGCCTCTGTCTTTTCTCCTCTGCCTCTCGAGCTGCCTGTTCCTGCCGCTGTCTCTCCTCTTCCTGCTGCCTCTGGAGCTCCTCAGCCCTGAGCCTGAGATTCATGGAGAAGATGATATATAATATGGCAGCAAACACATAAATGTGACACACAGACCCTAGAGACACACAATATCTCTACCTTTCCTCTTCTAGCCGTTGCTTTTCTTCCTGCTCCTTCTGTACTCTGGCCAGGCGCCGTCTCTCTGTCAGCAGCCTGGAGGCCTCCTCGGCATCAGTGGTACCTGCTTTCCCAGTGGGAGTTACTGGAGACTCTGAAACACAAGACAGGAGGCACTTAGTCCACGTCACGTGATTGAGATCCCATTGGCACAGCTTTTAAATCAGAAAAAAGTCAGTCATTTTAAATGATGAAAGAATGAGTATTGTTATTGTTAACTGAAATTAAACTAAAACTATTAAAACTGTATAACTGAAATAAAATAAAATAAAAAATAAAAATTTGAAAACTTACACTTACAAAATGAAAATTAGAAATGTCGCCTTGACAAATGAAACAAGATAAGATTAAGTTGAAGTACTAAAATTACTAAAATAAAAATAAACATATATAATATATAAAAATAAAAAAACTATTTAAATATTAAATAAAATCTAAAACTAATAAAAATGACAAAATTATTAAACTTGACCTAAAATGAAACCTGAAAATATAAAAATAAAAGCAAGTTCAAAATAATAATAAATGCTATAATAGTATACAAATAAAAAACTAAAATAAAACTAGACAGAATATTTTTCTTTTGGACTAAATGAACTACTCCTTTAAAAAGACAACACCTGCATTATGTCCAAATTCCTTGCTTGTAGATTTTGTGATTTTCTCTGTTCTGGAGGTCTTTCTCTCTAGAGTGCTGTAGCCTTTACTCTCCATGGACCCTTTCTCCTCTCCTTCCCACCTCTTGTTCTCTAAACATGGCGTTGCGGCTCTGTGTCTCATCGGGGAAGTGGGGTATTGACCCGTGGCTGGGGACTGAATGTGGCTCTTACAGGACTTTGATCTAATTGCAAATGAAAAAAACAAATATACACTCAGTCTAAAGTCTTTAAATAGTCTTTAAATAAATAATGACAACATGTAAAAAATTTGATAAAATACAAAACCTTTTCAGTGTGCTGGGGTTCTTGTGGGTAGAAGAACTTTGGGTGAGTGTTGTTGGAGACTCAAGCTTTTTCATAGATGAGTCAGATAAGGTTTGGGCGATGCTCTTTTCGGGTTTCTCAGTCTAAACACCCAAAACAGACAGCAGAATTATGTATTTGCCCAATTCACTGTTCTAACAAAGCCACAAAGCTACAAAAACCTGAACAATAGTCTCTCAGCCAAAAAAAAAAAAAAATTTTAATATAAAAAAATAGATTTTCTCAGTAACACTTTACAATAAGGTTAAAATTTGGTAACCTGTTCTGTCTATTAACAACAATTTGCAGCATTTATTAATCTATGTTAACGTTAATTTATATTTATTGTTCATGGTTGAATCCTGTGTGTTCATAATACATTAGCTAATTTATTCTTGAAATAACTTTACAATTTATGCATTAGGACATGTATATGTAAACTAACTTTAATAAATGCAGCAGAAGTATTGTTCATTCATGAAAACTAATGCATTAAGTGATAGTATATCCAAAAATTTTAATTCTGTATTCATTTATTAATTTGCTCCAGTGTTATTTTAGTATCACTGAGATACTATTATAGTTTTTGTTATTTTGAATTAGATTTTATTTTTGTATTTTCTGCTTTCAAGTTAATTTTAGTTAGTGTTTTAGTAATTTTTGTTGCATTTTTGTAATTGCTATTGTTTTTTTTGTTTTAAATACCGGTATGTCTATAGTTTTTATTAATTTAATTTAATTTAATTATTTTAGTACATAAAGTTAAATTACTAAATTACTAAAAATGTTGCCTTGGGAACTAGTCGAAATAAAATAAAAGTACGTTTTTGCATATTGCATTTTATTTCAGTTAACATTTAGTTTTTTTCATGTAACAACATTTTTAAAATTGTTTTAGATTTAATTTTTTAACTATAATAAACCTGATTTGCTCATGTCTTTTGACTTTCTTCTAAAAAAGAGGATATTTTGATATCTATGAATAGTTTTTTGTTTCACAGAAGAAAGAAAGTCATACAGGTTTGGAATAAGATGAAGGATGGTAAATCATGACAGGATTTTAATTTTTTGATTGAATTATCCCTTCAAATAATGTTAAGTTTGAATTTTCACCAATATCAACATTTTTACCTTCTAGAATGTTCAAGATATATAATGTAAACATTTTAGAAATACATTCTGAAGTATACAAATAAAAGTATAATATATAAGTATCACATATCTGTCAAAAGACCCCCTGCAGGACATTCACACCCCCGGTTCAAAAATCTACAGCTATAAATCCATGACTGAAACTGGACATGTACAGATCTGTGCAATGCAGTTGCTAGGAGACCAGCTCCTCTGTGGGTTGTGTCCCATTGTGCTTTGCACCACATATAAATATCTGAGCTTTCTGACAAAATGTTAATCACATCTATGCAGATCAGACCTGAGGGCTTTTCGGGGTTGTGGGCGCTCTGGGGTCATCCAGCTGTCCGTAGAATGATGTGCTAACCGTCTTTCGTTCGGCTCTAGCGGGTGAAGCCCTGTAAGGAGACCTGTGAGGGCTGGAGGAGGCTATTCGGGAACAAAGACAAGACACTGAGGGGCCAGAGGTCACAGGAAGGCAAAGGAGCAAATAGGGGCGGGGCAGAAATTGAAATCAATTAAATAGTGAAGGTTAATGCAAAAACACTTGCCTTTCTCTGTCACATTGGGCAAAGTAGCGGAGGAGGAGGAGAGATGCCTGCTCAGGACAGAGTCTGGGGACTCGGGCGAAATCATAAAATCTTGAACTGCAGTGAAACGTATTAAAAAAGGTTCGAGGAAGAAAGAAAACACAGGCACAGGCGGTCATACACTTATCATAATGATGTTAATTCACCCAGAGACTTACAGATGAAAAGTTAATTTTGAAGATAAATGCCAGAGGCTTTCTTTCTGATTAATAATTAGTGGCCATTTGGGTATGAATATTTACACTGATCAAAGACTTTCATGAGCAGCAGGCTCATTTTCATATGAGGTAGATTTCTGAGTTTATGTAGCTCATTTGTGATGTTGCTCGTAGGATTTGCAGGGGAGTTTGCTAAGCTGGCCTGCATTTACAATGAGCTGACAGATGAGAACATGCATCCGGATCCCTTACTAGGTGAGGAACAATATGGCAGACTCCATAGCTGATGCATCTAAACTCTATGTCCTGTTATGGGACCTATGATTGGTTTTAAATCCAGACAGTTAAATTTCCTCATTAATACAATGTTTACATTCACCTTAAAGAAAAAAACACTCAAAAAAACTAAAAAAAGAAAGGAGGTACTTGCCCATGCAAAACCTGATAATAGGGTGTTGTCAGGGCGCTGCAGCATAAATACAGGCTACAGTTGCTGACAAACATACACTCCAAAGAATATAATGATGATTACAACTAGACTTGTACATTTTGTGAAGAAAATGTGAGTGGTGTTTGACTTTGCAAAATCATATACCATCATTTTTTTGACGTTGTGTTTGGTTTCCAGGGTGCTGCTATGTAGTTGCTAATATGTTCTGAGAGGTTTTTAATGAAGAGCATTTAAAATTGGTCTTTGGGGGTCCGTGGAAAAATCGAGAGACCATTTGTTTTCTGTGGATAACACTATAACCGTGTATTTGTTTGAAAATGTGTCTATCCCGGTTGTCTTTTTATATTACAATAATATTTTTCTGATGATATTTATATAATTTTATTTGACTTCAGTACAATAAAAATGTATACAGTATATAATAGAAAACAATATAAAAGCCAATTATTTATAAGTTAATAAATATTTGCTATATTGCTGTTTGGTTGCTATGGTGTTCTAAATGATTCTAATGATTCTAACTGATTCTAGGGTGTTCTCATGATTCTGGTCCCTAGATACATTCATGTCCCTCATTCAAAGATTTGTTTTATCATCAGTCAGGCACAAATTTTAAGTCAGTTCACTTAGAAATTATGTGAAATAAGTGGAAAATTAATAGATGAACAATAACATTAGTGATGCCTTAGCAAGCACCATTAAAAATAAAACTCACCACTGAAATAAACAAGAAAGCAACACAGAGCAACAAAAACATCCATGGATAAGGCCAATACACTGCCGTTCAAAAGTTTGGGGTCAGTAATATTTATTTTATTTTAAGTGATCGTAAAGGATAAAAAGATTTCTATTTCAAATAAATTCTGCTCTTTTAACCTTTTTATTCATCAAAGAATCCTAAAAAAATGTATCATGGTTTCCAAAAATATATTAAGCAGCCCAACTCTTTTCAACACTGATAACAATAAGAAATGTCTCTTGATCACCAGGTCAGCATATTAGAATGATTTCTAAAGGATCATGTGACATATTTCACAATATTACAGATTTTACTGTATTCATGATCAAATAAATGAAGCCTTGGTGAGCATAAGACTTTTTAAAAATCTTACCGACCCTAAACTTTTGAACATTAGTGTAGCTCTTAGGACACATATAACCTACACTTATGTAAAATCTCATGCAACCACAACATCTGAATCACTGTGACTGGATCTTTAGGGAAGTGAACGGGGATGACACATAAAGCAGCAGGAAGTCAGTACCGTTCCTGGATTTGCTGGCAGGAGGATGAGCAGCGGGGTCATTGGCTAAGGAGGCTGAAGCAGCAGGAGAGGGCGGGGCAATCTTAGGATCATCTGTGCGGCAGGTGATGCAAAGCAGAGAAAGTACAGGTGCATGAGCACGAAAGAGTATTTCACAAGATCACAGTGAATATTATGAGAAGTCTTAACAGTGTGTCCCAGTGAAATACTGATATACGCCGTCAGCAGTTTTTTCCTCTGAAGGGAAGCTGCATAATTTCCAGCAGAGCATTTTTCTTTGTATAAAAAAAAAGTAATTTTGCTAATAAACCAGCATGGTAATATGAACCACAGCAAGATGAAATAACCCACAGCACAGCATGCAGCTGATGCGATGATATCAGGTTATCAGAGAGCCTAATGTTTTCAAAGGGCGACCATAAACTTATTCTCAATCCTTGTCCACAAAGCAAAACAGACGGTACATGCATGTCGTCTAGATATATTATTAGACTGACTCAGGATCAAGCAGTGTGGTGAGAAGTCTTGCCTGATCAAGCAGGATCAGGACAGTGTAAATAATTGATGTAGTTATGAATGCACCACAGATTCAGGGTGGTGCTTTCACATCTGTCTTGAAAGCAGCATTATTTTCTTAATTTGATTTACCTGAGCCTCAGGTCTACTGAGGAGTTATACACTGAAAAAAAAAATAGTGTAAAAACAATTTTAATTCAGAAATCACTAGTAAATTTCACCATATCAAAGAAACTGCAAGTAACCCATAGAACTGAACATGAGACTTTGAAAGTAGAAAGACTGAAATGTACAGGGAAAAAAGGCATTATTTAAAGTCAGAACAAAGCAGTGACAGAGCAAAAAGCCTTTGGCTGCGCAGTCTAATATACCCTGTGCAGTCATAGTGACAGCACAGTTTAGGGTGTTTGTTCTCTAGCTAAAACAGCTCAAATTGCCTCTTGCCCCCAGGCAGCTATTGCACAGATGATTTACAAAGCCTACGAGTCTGTCATCGATCATTGACAGTGCTAACCTTGAGACAGAGTGTTTTTATGCGACTGAGGCGACTCCTTGAGATCAGCAACAGCTCGATGTCTGTGTGTCACTGCAGCTCCCTCAAAAAACAGCTGCATTTTCATCCCACAGCTGCTGTATCAGTCAATATCCCAGTCGGTTTTAAAACAAAAGGGCTGCAGTGCAGTTCCCACACCCTGTTTTCCTCTCTCTCCATCCATTCCCGCTCCCCACGGCCCTGAGAGTAGTTCACACAAGGGACCCTCCACGCCCTGGCAAGCGCACACACACTCACCCTCGCAGACTCCTGGAGGTCCGCCCCAGGTCCAGCGTTTGGGCCTCTGGTCCGCCAGCAGGTTCCGCCCCATGGAACGTCGCATCAGGGCCTCCAGTCGCTCCTGCTCGTTGCGTTCCAAAACAGGAAAGAAAAGAGACTCTCTGACCGAGCTTTCGCTACGCCGATGAGTGGACGGGGATGAGGCTGGCTGCTCCATGGCGACCACCTCTCCTATCCGTCTCTGACTCTCCCTCTCTCCCTGTTCTTCCTCCTCGTATGTGTGTGAGCAAAATGACGAGGGCCTTGCCTTCTGTTTCTGCCTCTCTCTCCCTCACTCTCAGTGACTCTCTCTTTGTAGCTCTCTCCTCCCAGGTGACTGTGTGTCTAAGAGAGCGTACAGCCAGACGGAGTAGAGAACGGCTATAACTCCACCCACATCCTCCCCCCTCAGCGGCTGACATAAATGGTGAGCACACGCACACAGAGTGAGTATTATAATGACACAGGTTGTATCAGTGAAAATAGGAAAGCCTATATGTATTTTCCTGAATTTCTCTGTACCCCACCCCACGCTCTGCATTTCCTTTAACCAGTATAACCTTGTTTCTCCCTCTTATTTTTACATTTTAATTGATTTAGCATAACTCATAACCCTTTCCAAAGCACAGATGTTTACACATGTAAAATACACAATTAAATAGCTCCCCAGGAAAAAACTATAAAATCAATAAAGCAATAAAATCATAACAGTGAAATAGCATGGCTCTCTTAAGTACTTCATTCTGATTGGTCAACACTGTATTATATATCTTTGTATATATATATATATATATATATATATACCTGACCGCCCCAGGTCACCAATTTTCTACATACAGTAGCTGTTCTAGTTTATCTCATGTCACTCTGTAGCCTTTTTTTATGATAAAAAAATGCATTTACAAAGGGATTCCTTGTGAAAAAGAAGAGCACTTAACTGTATTGCACTTGTAGTGTACTACAAATCTTAAAAGTATATATTTAAAAAAAAGGTACATGCAGATAATATAATATTAAAGAAATGAAATAAAAATGACTGTTTCCCAACAAAATGAAGGACACTTTTAAAAAAGTGCACCTAGTAATAATGCCAAAATAAAAGTTTTATTTCAAAGTACATACTGAATCAGTTTCAATAATCTTAGACTTATCTTGATGTGTTGAATGACAAAGCACATGTTAACTTACTTGATTATAATTTTAAACTCTATTGTTTTATTCAATACAAGTTTCAACAGAAATTACATTAAAGTATAATTTGGTTTACCATAAATGCTTGTTAATGTTCAGCAGTACAGTTTAACCATATTTCAAAGACATTAAAAGTAATTATTAAATTACATATAAAGATGTACTTAAGTCCTATGTAAGTGAGTCAAAAAGCGCTAATTCAACTAATTGCTTTCATACCAAATTAAAATACAATACATTTTCATTTAATTGCAATTATGTAGCTAAGTGTCAGAAAACATTACATTTAATTTGCACATAATTATAATTTTTTAAAGTACAGTATATTCTTTCTGTAATAAGTGCTCTGTTTTTTTTAAAAGAGTACTTCTTTTTCACAAGAGATAATTCACCCAAAATGAACACTCTGTCATCATTTACTCACAATCATGTCATCCCAAACCCCATGATATTATTTCTTCCGTGGATTTAAAAAGATGAATTTTCAGAGAACATTCTGGTTGCTCTTTTTCATATAATGAAAGTGAATGGGGACTAGAACTCTCAAGGTCTAAAATCACAAACAACCTCCATCAAAAGTATCATAAAAGCAGTTCACATGACTTGTGAGATATTCTGAGTATTCTGAAGGTGTACGGTAGCTTTGTGTGATGAATCAATTGAAATTCAAAAACCATTGTTCCTCACAAAGATACATTGTTAGTGCAAACATTGTGATAACATTTATGATACTTATATAATGCTTCTGTGTCATTTTGTAGCTTAACACATCCAGCCCCTATTCACTTTAATTATAAGGAAAAGCACAAGGCAGGCTATTTTTCAAAAATTCACCTTTTGTTTTCCAAAGAAGTCAGCCACGTCACACAGGTGAACATGAAGGTGAATAATGACAGACTCATCTTAATTTAGCCATGTAATCAGCAATAATGTAGTCATAATCACAAAATAAACCCTTTAGGGTGATGCAAAACCCCTCTTGCATCTTACATTCTCCTTTGACATCTCGTTATTTTTTAAATTTGATTAATCTGATGAAGAAGACTGCAAAAAAGGTGATGAATGGCTTGAGCATACATAAAACTAGGTGGCTCACGCTGCATATTGTCTGCAGGTGGACGTAAGGAGGCCAAGCTACTGCTATAGATTTGATACCACTGCAGATAGAGGAGCCAGAATTCATTTAAATCCAAACACTGGCCAAGATCAGAGTCATTTGAGGTAAGACTAGACATAACAGAGGCAGCACTTCCATACCAGAACACAGAAACAGTACCACACCCCGCACACAATGATCCACTGCCTAACTGTAGTCTCTGTAAGTAGGCATCTTAATCACACCGTACTGTATTTTTCCTTTTAGCTTCTTCAGACACGCCCTTTCTATGACACACCGTGTTTTTCTAGAGTAATTTGATTTGTATATATCAGTTAAGAATGAATATCGGGAACAGTGAGGTCATTTGATCACTCCAGAGAGAGTCACCAATCATTGCAGCATCTGACTGGGGGTGGCTAGTATTCAATCAATATAAACAAAGACAAAACTCAATGCCACAAAAGGTGGGAACTCTAGGAGGTTAAATTCAACGTGAATAAATACGTAATTACACACAGGTTCTGAAAACTATTCATAAATTTATAAAATCTAACCAGTAAAAATGTCAACATCACAATCTGAACATCTTGAGCTAATATAAATAGCTACTGCAGGGCTCGACAGTGCGACCATTTCATGAAAACTACTGCGTGCGACTATGAAATTTTATTTAGGAGCACTAGTGCGACTGACCCGATCATCATCATACTTGTGATTGCGCTCAGTGGAGCTTTCAAAGGTTTCTACGTGTTTTTGCAGCGTCGAGTAATGTATCACAGACATATCTCACGAATCCTTTCATAAGCAAAGTGTAGACAGGGTGTTTTAATAAAGTTAGAGGAGTCAAATATTACCTCGTAATGGGAAGGCTACTTTTTGATAACATTGTGGATTATTGATTAGAAGGTGCTCCTAAAATTTTGAACGTGCTCCTAAATTTTTTAAGTTAGGAGCACAAGTGCTCCTAAAAAGAAAAGTAAGCGTCGAGCCCTGTACTGCCAGCCTTGTATTGTGCTTTTGCATATTTTTAGCTAAAATCTGTTTATTGGCGTTCCACCTTTGTCAGTTGCTTGACTTTGGCTTTCATATTACCATATGAAACATAGTGGAATGGTTTCCTACACCTCAAAAATTACATTTTTGCTTTGGTTTAAAGATGATGTGTGTAATTTCTGTGGCATCAGCAAAAATGCAAAGATAATAAATGTTTCCAATCAGATTTTTCAAATACTCCCTGGATCTTCCATTGTTTGGATGAAAAACTAGTCCCGCCCCCAAACTCATGCCATTGGTTAAGTGTATGTTGTTTTCTTGAGATCAAGGGGTCAAAGTTTAGCATAGATATAGACTATAATATAATTAAATATTAGCAATATACGGTTTATACACTACCGTTCAAAAGTTAGGGCTGGTAAGAATATTAAATGTTTTTGAAAGAAGTCTCTTATGCTCATCAAGATGGCATATATTCGATCTCAAATGCAGTAAAAACAGGAATATTGTTTGTGAAACATTATTACAGTTTCAAATAATTATTTTCTATTTGAATATATTTTAAAATGTCATTTATTCCTGTGATGGCAAAGCTGAATTTTCAGCATCATTACTCCAGTCTTCAGTGCCATATGATTCATTCAGAAATCATTCTAATATGCTGATTTGCATCTCAAGAAACATTTATTATTATCAGTGTTGAAAACAGCTTAACTTAACAGAAACTGTGAGTCAGGCATCTTAGGTGAATAGAAGGTTATGATGAATAGAAATTGTAAAATTTATAAAGACAAATATCTTTACTGTCACTTTTGATCAGTTTAATGCTGAATAAATGTATTAATTGTATTATGTTAATATATGTATACAATGTGTATTAATTTCTTTCAAAAAAGGAAAGAAAAAAAATCTTACTGACCCCAAAAATTCAACAGTAGTGCATATTACTTACATTTTTCCCTATCTGCTGCATTTGACTCCAAAAACTGTATGTTGAAGTATTTTAATAGCTAAAAATTACACACACCACCTTAAAGATTACGCAAACTGGAAAAAAAAATTAATAGCAAGAAACTATGCATAATAAGAATATAATTTTATCATAATATTACAAACTAAATCCAAAATAAAAGAATGCAGAGATAAGAAGGTATATGAGAAAAAAAAACTTAATATCTGCCCTATGAGTGGATACCCCAAAGAGAATAAAGTTTGGCTGTAACCCCTGACCTTTTCCTCCTCCATGCGCTGCCTCCTTTTCTCATCCACAGCAGAACGACGGAGCATCTCCTTTTGCCGCTGCTCCTCCAGACGCTTCCCTCGCTCCACCAGAGAGCGTTCATACTGCTGCTGTGCACGCTGTTCCTTCTCCAAGAGAGCTCGCTCCCGCCCAGCTAGACACAAGGTGGGGGTGTATGGGATCAATTTTCCACCAAAAGTATTGCAGTCACGGATAAAAAAGTAACAATCGTGAAACCAAAATTTAAAAACACAAGTAAAAATATATTGCACAAAATTTAAAAATTAAAGCAAAGTTTTCACAATAGCAAACAATGGTCACAGATCGAAAAATAATAAGTGTATATAAAAAATGTAATAACGCATTTTAAAAAAATTATAAGCATGAATCAAAACTTTAAGCACATTTAAAATCATATTGCACAAAACTGAAATATTAATGCTAAATTATCCGATTTGCACACAAAATCATGTTTTCCTTGGTTGTATTTCTTTCCACACTTTCCACACTGAGCGCGAAAAAGATAAACTAATATCGGACGCAATTACGCGCTGGAATAAAACAATAGATTTCTATGGATGCTTCCACATAGACCGCGAACATTCGCGCACCGAAAATTCGAATGTTTTTTTTTTAAACCAGTCCGATGAATCTTTTCAGTCTCGCAAAGCGAAAACACGGGCCGTCCAATAAGATTTTAGCTAGGATCACGTGACTGGAGCAGCTGCTGTTGCACAAAAGGGTGAGAGTGGTGGCGCTGTTTCGAAACCCAGTGTAAACAAACACCTAGTGATGGGAGAAACTCACGGGTTCACATAGATTGCCCCCCTAAGGTGAACTATTGAAATTTTGAAACGGTTCGAAACAGTTATGACGTAACAAAGCCTCGTTTACTGAAATCACGTGACTTTGGCATTCTGATACGCGCTCCGAACCACTGTTTCGAAACAATTGATTCGCAAATTGATCCCATAGGAGCGAACATGGGTAAGTCTATAGATTGCCCAGACACTGGACAGGCCAAGCCTCTCCCTACCTGCTGACAATACTGATTCATTTGTGCTAAGCACTTAGTGGTATTATCAGAAGTCTTCCGCTGCTCAAGAGCAATCGGATTCAGTGATGAATGAAGCAGTAGTCTATTGCCCTGGAATAAACCTCTGCTTTAACTTATCCACAAGATTGTCACGAAATCCATTCAGGAATTAAACAGTGGTTATTAATCAAAATCAACTATAGATCACAATCAGAAGTTATTACAAGCACTTGATGATAGTTTAAAGTGGGTGAGCAATGAAAGCAACGTTCGTCAGCGATTCGCCTCGCTTTTTCGCATCGCGCTCAGTGTGGAAAGGCCTTCAGACATTTTCTGCTCATATTTTAATTTTTTGTATGCTTTTGCTGTTTTTCACTTCGCTCTTGTTTGCATGTTCTGCGCTTGCTTTTCCAAATGTTGCGGTTAGAGTTTCATGTAAATCAGGGTGGGCTTAATCGTCATTATTGGTCCACTAGTTCTAGACTGACAGCTCCTCCTCTAGCCAATCAGTCAAAGTGGGGAGTTGACGACACTCCAATGCGCCTCATTAGCTGCCGATGCTCAGTGTTCACTTGTACAGGTGAAGATGGACAACTGTCAGCTGGGGTAACATCTATCCATACAGGACACCGTTATATGTGTCTGCCTGTCACTGCTGTATGCCTACCTGGCGATCCTAGCGACCCGTCACCGTTATATTCACCTATATTTTACGTTTCTTATTTTTTATCTGTGACTGCAATACTTTTGGCAGAAAACTGATCCCATAGGAGCGAACATGGGTAAGTCTATAGATTGCCCAGACACTGGACAGACCAAGCCTCTCCCTACCTGCTGACAATACTGATTCATTTGTGCTAAGCACTTAGTGGTATTATCAGAAGTCTTCCGCTGCTCAAGAGCAATCGGATTCAGTGATGAATGAAGCAGTAGTCTATTGCCCTGGAATAAACCTCTGCTTTAACTTATCCACAAGATTGTCACGAAATCCATTCAGGAATTAAACAGTGGTTCTTAACAAGGCAAGATGTTTTAGACAATATAGAAAGGAACATATCCCACTGATAAGCTACCACTAAATATTGTAGAAACTTAATTTGCTGTAAAGTTGCTTTGCAATGATTTGTATCGTGAAAAGCGCTGTACAAATAAACTTGAATTGAATTGAATTGAAATAATTTCCTTGTTGACAGTAATAACTGAATAAAAGACTTGCAGCTCACCTTTGCTCCTATCTTTCTCCTCTCTTTTATCTTTGGCCAGTCGAATTCTGTCCTTCTTCGAGCCTCCATCTTTGCATGAGAAAGGAAACGAAATGTTGAAATGCACATAAACAGTGAACACACCTTTAGGAGTCTGTGCAATCTTCTCTCAAACCAACGACGTAACCAAATATTCAAGTCCCTCAGTGTCTATGGTTATAGCCCAGTTACAAGCTGGTGGAAACCACTGGCTTTAATTGTGTAATAGTATGCAAATATATGCAGTCAAAATGCTCCAGGGGAACACAAAAATGATTTTTCGTGAAGTGATTTTCCACGATTCACAGCAGAGCCTGTAGCACAGTCTGTTAGATCCCTGTTAGCTTCAAATCTAAAGCACATTTGACAAAGCACATTTTTGCTTTAGTTTTTAATTTATATCAGACAGTATGCATTGTTAAATCATTATAAGAATCTTTCAATAAACATAAGAATCTAATCAATAAACCCAGTATCAAACACATTTATTTTGATCTGTCTGTTCGAAAAATAACTATAAATAGCTTGCAGTGGAAACCAGGGATAGTTTTCACATCAAATGTACAACCATAACTATAAGATTTTGAGTACAATTAAATGTGTTTTCTATGGCAATGATTTTGTACTTTAGTTTCAAATATTTTTTGTAAATTGTCTTAAATTAGAACTTCTGGGCTGTTTAAAATGCTACACAGTTTATTAATTTGTCTGCTAAAACAGTGGTTTGATATTTTTACTGTTTCTTGAATTTTATTGCGTTTTTAATTAACTGTTTCTTTCTTTCTTTCTAATAACAGTGAGGAAATGTAAGGTATCTGTATAAACAGAAATTTAACCGAATTTAATCGAAATTTAACAGAAATTGAGAAGAATATACTGGCATAAACAGTGTGACAACTAGCCTCTGTATATCTTCCCTATATGATAAAATCAGTTTTTTTTAATTCAACAACAACATAATATTAAATGTATTGTTTTTGCATACTGTACATTGCAAAAACGTCTGTTTCGTTTCATAAGGGTTACGCACTCTTCACCTGGACAGGTCAGTCAGGTTTCCCATCCTCCTCTCACCTCAGCAGCCTGTTTCCATGACAACAGCTCAAGAAGCTCGCTTTCCCAGTTATCCGTTCCTCAATACTGTCATTATCTGGGTGAGGCTTCTTTTTAAAGAATGAAAATATAACATAGCATAACGTACCTGTCAGGTTTTCCACGATGGTGGCCATTTCCAGTTTATCTATGGGAGTTTTCCAACGACCAATATCAAGATGACATTCCGCCCCATTCAAATATCAATCACTATTTAAGTTGAAAAAAAAACGCGACGGAAAACTAAACAGTTTCACAGATTCATCCGAACACCACCTTGGTCTTCGACCAGATATTACTGGCGAAGGCTGAAGGCAGAGCCACAAGACCGCGAGGTTCTAATAAATTATAACACGCACGACCAATTGCCGCGTGCACGCGCGCGTAAGCAATGCACCCAAGAGCAAAGCATTACGTCATAGTTTACGTTGCGCTATATTTGGAAAGCTCAGGAGCTGAGCACAGGGCAGAAATTTCCCATTTATTTCCCCTGGAGACGTTTAATTAAACGTGCCTAGAAATATATAGCCACAGCCTACTTCAGTGATCACAAAGGGAAACAAGGGATGCCATTTATCTAATTAACAATATGAGCGGTAAAGACTGCTCAAATATCTGCCTGGATTATGTGCACGCAAAATGTGCTCGATCATCTTTAAAGACTTCTAGAATAGACATCCATTTAGAGAAGTGTGATTGAATTTTTAAAGGACAATTTTAAACAAACCAAATATGACATTACGGAATATATGGGCTATTTTCACACCACAGTACTATCCTCCAAGTCTGTGTTAACATCTGTCTAAGCATGTAGACGCATGTGCTATAGACTACCTCTGTTTTCACACTACAACACACGTGATGGGCCGAAACAAACTCGGACTAATATCACTCAAGACTATGGCTAGACACTCACTTACTATAAATATACTGCTTTTTTTTTTTAACCCACACAATTCAAAACATCTGCAACAAAAACAAAACATTACATAATCATTTTGGACATTTCATAAATACTGGAGGTAAAAAATTATTTCCCCACAAGATGGAGAAACCTGGTGTATAGTAATAAAAAATATTAAGGACGATGACTGACATTTCAAAAGCGTAAAATACACATTTCTAGGATTCTGAATGTTGTTGAATTTTATTTCAAAATCACAGGTTTTCTAATCAAAAGCAGCAGAGAACAAAAAGCAACCATCACAAGCTCATCAAAACAATACACCTACAATTAACAGGTTATAACCAACAACCAACATGCTCATTCAAAAGGGCCAGTCTGCAAGAATACAGTCAATAAACTCTCATAATTCTTGCATTAAGTAGCCTATTTGCATACAAAAATACTTCCTCATTCTGGTTATTTGCTTTGTGAGCTATCATTTTAGAAAGTAAAAAACGTTTCCATTTTCATCTTACAAATATTTCTGTTGCTGATGTTTACTGTAGTTTAGTATCAAGCTATTATGTTGTAACTAAGTAACAACTGTGAAGTATTACATAAAGCTTCAATATTAATTACCTTCATAAATTCAGCAGCCCTGTAAAATGAGTATTCAATTATCATCATTTAAAGTAGACAAGAACACAAAACAAAATTAGGATGGATTAAAACAAAGAGCTAACCAGACAGGCTTTCTGAACAAATGCATCACACAATGCATCATTGTGTGACCAGTAAATCATAAGAGACTTCAAAAACATTCCAAAAAGACCAGAGACGTTTTAGAGGTATCAGCTTTTACCATAAGAGTTTCACTCACTTTTACAGAGCTTTTGAACATGTCTATTAGGATACAGACTGCAAGACCAAACATAAAATTGGTTATCTTTTTATTGCGAATCCATAGATTCTGTACTGTAACTAAATTCCACTTGATGTGAAATCAATATAAATACATTAAAAGATAACAAAATTGATTGAAGGTAACAATGCATTCATGTGTTTAGTCAGAGAAACCAAAAACTTGAGCCTCTGTGTACATAATGATGGAGGGGTGACTTTAGGGGGGATGTGAGGATATTGTCACTTCAAGTTCAACATTCACTTCCCAGTGTATTCCTCTTAGATCTGGGGAAAGAATTTGGTATTGTCAGGACAAAACACTGATTGATGCACTGACTACTTACATCATGTCTCCATTTTAATGAACGAATCAAAACGTCGAGTTTTTGAATTAATCTTAAACTTCAGATGAATGTAAGAGTACTTTAGTACTTACATCATCAATGTCCTCATCATCATCACCAATATCATCGAACTGAATCTCGTCGTCATCACCAGGCCCGAAGGTATCAGTCTCGTTGATTTTGGCTGCAAGGCACCAACAGTAAGAATTTAATGACATGACATTTAATACAGTGCACCAAAAAGATCAGCATATTGCAAGCCAAGAACCTCAGTTCGTCAAGAACCATCTAGAAGGTTTCTCAGATTAAATATACTCACCGTGTTCTGGAAGCTCTCCATAGGCTTTCAGACTCCGAGCCTCATCAGCATTATACTTCAAAATGACATCTGCTTTGTTATCCTGATAAGACATTTCAGAATTTAAAATGTCAGATATTAACTCCATAAGAAGCCCTTGGATAAAAGAACTCTGAAGTTTCATCAGCAGCATCAATCTTCTTTTTAAACTAAAAGAGTAAAGCTTTTAAATGGCTAAATTCGGTAAACTAATTTCTTTCCAGGCTAACAAAAGACATTTATATTTAAAACGTTATACATTTTTATTAGTTATATTAAAACCACAAAATATTATTATTTGTATTATATAGAGCTACATTATTGTATTATTATATACAATTATATTAAAATAAGAAATATTTTAACCTGATGATGCCTTAATCCAGCAAGTATAAATAATTATATTTTTATTATATTTTATCATTAAATTATAATACAATTACATTAAATATTGAACAAAAACTCTGTAGTCCATTATTCTAATAAGTATAAATAAATCATATTTAATTATATTGTAGCTAAATTATTTATTACATTAGTATAATTATATTAAATTAAGAAATATTTAACAAACCTGGTAGTCCCTTAATCCAATGAGAATAATGTCTGATGTGTTAATCCACACCTACATAAAAAAAACAAAAAACGTAAGACCACAAATAAGACAAACATCTTTGGATTTTAAAGAACAATATAAACATTGCTAAAGAACAATATAAAATTCATAATATTTTGTCCTATGCTGAAGTTTTCCAGCATATCAAAAATTCCATGCCAAAAAATGTTACACCAGTTAGTTTTATCAAGCAATATTGACTGGATTGGCCTAAACATTTCTGTCAGTCCACACAGCCAAGCTCATTCACAAAGTGATGGAAATGCTGAATCCACATTCAGTCTGAAGCTTCACAGACTGGATCTGTAAAGTGCACCTTTTTCCGGAGCTTTCCTCGGATGTGACAAAGCCGCTTGACTCCATCAAAACACATGGCCTCCAACCTCCCATTTCCCAACATCTTGATGACCTGAGCATATTCTAGAAGATAGAAGAAGCTTTTTCGAAAAATGATACAACTAAAGGCAGATCATGTTTTGAAGTGAAGGCAGCATGACATCATGAACGCTCATTATATGTAACAGTATTACAACACACCTTGTCCATCCTCTTTAAACACCAGCTCCCTTTTCTCAGATTCATTCTCATTCTTACCACGTCGCCGATTCTTTCCTCCTTTACCTGGATACAGAGAAATAAAATGCGATCAGATACAATCATACATTTGGAAAAATGCATTCTTATTAACACACTACAGAGTCCTATGACAATAACAAAATGTTGCCTAATGACTGAGCAAAGTACACACATTGAGCAGAATACCTGTTACATGAAAGACATATTAAACTATTGTTAATTTCATGTGTATTTGTCAGGCAACTTTAGCATGTATGATCCCTTTTACAAATATATGCTTAATAATTAAACGTAATAATTTTATAGCAGGTAAAGATCAAAATCCGTTTAACTGGCCCTGTAACGTTACCTGCCTAACACACATAGCGCCCGAGCGCATCCTTTTCATTACCTGACAGCAGCTTTTATTTCGTATTATGAACGTAAAGGCATCAAATACAGAACCAAAAACGAATTCAACTGCCAATATTAAAAATCAAACATTGACAATAAACTGCTACATTTAATATCAAACGCAAAAGCTCACGTTACCTTGTTTGCTAAATTCAAGGCTAACATCTCACACGACTGTCTTTAGAAACCACCTTACCTTTGTTTTTCGGCATTTTCTTTAAACGACGCCGACGGCTGTCGTATAATGTTCAGAAACGTTAGGGAATTATAACAATATGTCAAATATTTTGCTTCTCAAACGTGCTGTTGTGAGTAGATCAGCGCCGCTAGCGAGAAAAGCTGACAAAGACGCATGCGCAGAATGCCTCTTCTTCTTCTTCTTCTTGTACGATTTTATGGCGGTTGACAAGCCAACTTATGGTGTATTACCGCCACCAACTGGACTGGAGTGTGAAGCATTAACGGGAAAGAGGGAAAAAGGAACAAAAAAATAAAAATAAAAATAAAATTTCCATAAATAAATAAACCAACCGGTAGTATTATGTTTCTAAACTAAGAACAGCATCTAATGTACTTCGTCCTTTACGGAATCCACTCTGATGTGGTGAAATAATTTCTTTCCTTTCTAACATATAGTTTAATCTACACACAATCATACGTTCCATTAATTTACACACATTTGACGTTAATGCCATAGGTCTATAACTTTCAGCATTATGCTTGTTCTTGGCTGGCTTTAATATAGGAATAATAACCCCGTGTTTCCATGAAGAAGGAAGTCTCCCTGATCTCCACACTTTATTAAAAAGACGCAATAAAAAGTTCAGAGAAAAATCAGATACATTTTTGATCATCATATAACATATCTCACCCTTTCCTGGTGAAGTTTTTTTTAACTTTTCCAACAGCTCTCTTTAATTCATTTAGTGAGAATTCCACATCAAGATGTTCATTAGAAGGCCCTTTCTCCATCCTAATATTTGGATGTTCCTTTATACCTTGTTCTCTGTTTATTTCCATTTCTTCTGCAGATTGCCTCGTTCAACAGCGCAAAACTTTATTCACAATCGCAATCAGCTCAGGAGGAGTGGGCTAAATCTAATTTATTATTATCTGATACGACATGATATGATGATATTATAGCCTAATAAATTTAATATGACATATTAACTTTTTACTTTTAAAGAGAAAAGTAAAAAGTACAGATCTATTCTGTAAAGCTAAAAGTATATATGTAAACAAGGATAAAATTACAGTTTTAAAGCAAGGTGAGCTTGATAAAAATAAATAAAATGTTAAAAAACAAGGTAAACGAGGTAAGGTGATAATGATATATAAAAACTAATCAATTAATAATAATCTTGTCCTCCTATCCGGTAGGTGGCGACATTGTCATAATTAACGTGCGAGACATCTGAAGAAACAGGATTGCGGTTTGTTTTGAACAACTTTCCCCGTACTTTATATTTAAAACGTCTTAAAGTGGAATGATCTATAATGATCAAGGGATTGTAAGCAATCTAACAGCTTGTTTATATAGTCTAAAAATTCCATATTAAAGCTCAAACCAATCACATCGTAAACATTAAGTTACACAAATGTGTCGTTGGTGGTTGCCCGAACCACTTATTAAACTATTTAAAGCTGACAAGGAATCTGTACAAATGACTACCCTAGTAGGCTTAACTTCCTCCACCCATTGAATAGCTAATAAAATTGCTATTAGCTCTGTTGTAAAGACTGATACAAAATTAGTTATCCTTTTCTGAATGTTGACTTGTAATCTTTGGATATATACAGCTGCAGCTGACTTTCCTGATGTAGGATCTTTAGAACCATCTGTGAAGATATGGAGCATTGAAGAGTAATTTTGATCTAGATATTGTTGAACAACAACCTCCTTAGATAACGTTTTCTCATTCTTAATCATATATTGTAGATGAAAATCTACTTGAGGCATAGGAAGCAACCAAGGAGGAATATTCGATATTACAACAGAGGGACTAACTGAGATTTCTGTAATACCCAAAATCGTAGCATCTCTAGTTGCTGTCCAACCAAAACTTTTGATTTTATTTTTCCCATATTCCCAGCAATCCTTCAATATGTCCTTTACTGGATGTAATTCTGAATGCCCTTTTACATTTATCCAATAATTCATAGTTAATTTCAATTTTCGTAAACTTATAGGCATTTCTCCCACCTCCACTTGTATGGCTGATATTGGAGAAGATCTGAAAGCTCCACTACATATTCTTAAAGATTGTGCCTGAACAGTTTCTACTTTTTTAATCAAGGATTTAGAAGCAGATCCATAAATTATGCATCCATAATCAATTGCTGACCTAATCAGTGCACTATATATTCTTAGTAAAGATTTCCTACTAGCTCCCCATTCTATTCCTGTTAAACATCGTAGTATATTATTACTTTTTTTGCACTTATCTACCAACTTCTGAATATGTATCTTAAAGGTCAACCTGGAATCCATCCATATTCCTAGATATCTTATATCTTTAACTTGTTCAAGTACTTGTCCATATAACTTCACTTTTATTTCAGGGATATGATTCCTCTTCGCAAAACAGACTAGTTGAGTTTTAGTCACCGATAGTCGAAAACTCCATTTGTTAGCCCATTTTTCCACTTCATTAACCGCTGATTGTATAACTCTTGTCACGTGAGATACATTACGACCCCTTTTCCATATCGCTCCATCGTCAGCATAGAGAGATCTTCCTATATCTATTTTGACATTTTGGAACACATCATTTATCATGATATTAAACAATACTGGACTGCACACACTTCCTTGTGGAGTACCATTATCTATTTTATATATCCTGGAATATGAAGCCCCAACCCTTACCTGAACAGTTCTATTAAGTAAAAAATCTTTAATCCAGTTAAACATTCTGCCTTCAATTCCTAATTGTTCAAACTTTATTAACAGCCCCTCCTTCCAAAGCATGTCGTATGCTTTTTCAATGTCAAAAAAGATGCCTACTACCACCTCTTTATTAACTTGAGCCTTTCTTATGTCTGTTTCTAAACTAAGAACAGCATCTAATGTACTTCGTCCTTTACGGAATCCACTCTGATGTGGTGAAATAATTTCTTTCCTTTCTAACATATAGTTTAATCTACACACAATCATACGTTCCATTAATTTACACAAATTTGACGTTAATGCTATAGGTCTATAACTGTCAGCATTATGCTTGTTCTTGGCTGGCTTTAATATAGGAATAATAACCCCGTGTTTCCATGAAGAAGGAAGTCTCCCTGATCTCCACACTTTATTAAAAAGACGCAATAAAAAGTTCAGAGAAAAATCAGATACATTTTTGATCATCATATAACATATCTCACCCTTTCCTGGTGAAGTTTTTTTTAACTCTTCTAACAGCTCTCTTTAATTCATTTAGTGAGAATTCCACATCAAGATGTTCATTAGAAGGCCCTTTCTCCATCCTAATATTTGGATGTTCCTTTATACCTTGTTCTCTGTTTATTTCCATTTCTTCTGCAGATTGCCTCGTTCAACAGCGCAAAACTTTATTCACAATCGCAATCAGCTCAGGAGGAGTGGGCTAAATCTAATTTATTATTATCTGATACGACATGATATGATGATATTATAGCCTAATAAATTTAATATGACATATTAACTTTTTACTTTTAAAGAGAAAAGTAAAAAGTACAGATCTATTCTGTAAAGCTAAAAGTATATATGTAAACAAGGATAAAATTACAGTTTTAAAGCAAGGTGAGCTTGATAAAAATAAATAAAATGTTAAAAAACAAGGTAAACGAGGTAAGGTGATAATGATATATAAAAACGAATCAATTAATAATAATCTTGTCCTCCTATCCGGTAGGTGGCGACATAATTAACGTGCGAGACATCTGAAGAAACAGGATTGCGGTTTGTTTTGAACAACTTTCCCCGTACTTTATATTTAAAACGTCTTAAAGTGGAATGATCTATAATGATCAAGGGATTGTAAGCAATCTAACAGCTTGTTTATATAGTCTAAAAATTCCATATTAAAGCTCAAACCAATCACATCGTAAACATTATGTTACACAAATGTGTGGTTGGTGGTTGTCCGAACCGATCGGACATCATTATTCATTATATGTTACCCGAGGATCCGAAAAGACGCAGTCTTTGGTTAAAGTTTATTGAAGACAGTAAAGATGATGGGGAAAACGCGACCTCTTCATGCCGGGTGTGCGGAAATCATTTCTCTGAGGAGAACTACTTCAAAATGGATCTGGGTTACGCCACATGCATGATACTAAGTGTGGATGCTGTTCCTACACTACATACTGTTGATCGATCATCTGAGACTGAAAGGGAGATACAAGTAGGACATTTCTTTTGTTTATTATATATAAATTACATACTTTATATATAATTTAATTACACTTAAAGTACAGTTACATTTAATTACTCTATATATAGTATATAAATGAAATGTAATTATATGTAATTAAACAACCCTGCTTTGTTAAATGTTTATATTTATGTTTATATTATTTAAATTAGCTTATTTTATAATATTTATTTAATATAAATCACATATTTTAATCATACATAATATAATTCCATTGAATTGTTTTGTATATAATATATAAATGAAATGTAATTACATTCTATAATTAAACATCAATATTTCATATTAAAATATTTATTTATAATATGTATTTACTTTGCTTATATAAATTACACAATTTATTATATATAATATATAATTACATTTAATGCACAATTAAATGTATTTTATGTAATATATAAATAAAATGTATTTAATATATTAAAAGATGTTTCACACACAAAAAAGAAAAAAGAAGATTGTTCTCGTGAGTGCGGATCATAATTTCCTACACACACACACACAATACAATACATATTTTGCTTATGTAAATGTAAGCAAAATATTATATGTAATTTATGTAATGTAAATAAATGTATAGTACATAGTTTATATATACATATATAATTACATTTAATATACAATTACATTAAATTATTTTATATGTAATATAAATTAAATGTGTATATGTCTGTCTGTCTGTCTGTCTGCCTGTCCATCTATAAACAATTATATGTAATGCTATACTATATTATGTTTTATCTGACAGGAAGCAGAAGATGAGTACATGGAAGATGACACAGGTAAAATTGCCATTTCTGAGGCTGTTTCACTTGCTTGTGTCAAAGAGGAGCCTCTTGAATATGAGCTGAGTACCAACATGACATCTGGACAAGAGCAGAACTCCTCACTGGATGAGAGTGTTAAATATGAAGAGAGTGAGCTGTCCGTTACTGAGGATGGCACCTCAACTGTAATTTTCA